CAGGCTGCCCAGGGAAGTGGTTGAGTCACCATCCCTGGAGGTGTTTAAAATACATGTAGATGTGGTGCTTAGGGACATGGTTTAGTGGTGGACTTGGTAGTGTTAGGTTAATAGTTGGACTTGATGATCTTAAAGGTCTTTTCCAACCTAAACGATTCTATGATTCTAATAAAAGCACTCTTGAAATTTCAAGTCTAAATGCCTTGAGCATTTACATACTTAATTCATTTTTTAAAAGAGACTTAGACTGCAGGTAAATATTCCAGAAGTATTTCTTCCATGTCTTACAGCACAAACTAAGGAGGAATTATAAAGTCCTTAATCTGCGCTTAACAAGAGCTGCACCTCCCTATCAGACTACAGAGAAACAATATTTTAAAGGATCACACAGAGCTTTCTCTAATGCAATTAATTTGTCAAGTCCTACTTAAAGGTCTAGGCCAGGTGGGAATTTACTGGATATTTTCATTAACATCCTGCATAAAAGGGTCTCTGATCTTCATTTCCAGGTTTCTGCAGCCCCTTTGATCACTGTTACCAGGAGGCAAAAAAAGTTAAATAGTGTGGATTTTCTCTTTTAAGCTTCTCTACTTTAAAAAAGGAGCTAATTAGCCTTCCTTGACTAATATATGCAACTATGCAAATCAAATTGATTGACTCAAGATACATGTGGGAATTTGGTCCACCTCTCCACCCTAAGCACTGCATAGCCAGGTAGGTGCACTGAGAATACCCAACAGGGCAGCCTACTGCTTTCCAACCCAGAGGTCAACTCAGTTTCAAGACACTGGAGGTTTAAGTGGAAACATATTTCTCACTTCAATGCGAAAACGTTCCCCATTGTCAGTAGCTGAGTTTCTGTCTGATCCTTTCATGCCTCAGTCACACCATTCTCACATTTTGACATGCAAGACATCACACACAACTGCTTAGTTTTTTCGTCTCTGCCTCTGAAGTAAAAGACAACTCTGTTTGTCCTCACTTGATGAGGTTCTGGAAGGCATAGCCATCCGTCCACTGCTCGGTGAAAGATGCCCCATGCCGCACGGTAGTGAAGTGACCTAGCCTCAATCGATCCTGCATGCTCTTATCTCTGCATGCCATCTTCTCCTGCTTTGACTGAAAACAAAACAAAATACATGTTAAAATATAAGCCATAAATCAGCAGCAAAGAGCTATGCTGTGTTTTATATCACTACCAATTCTTACCACTTTTCATTGTTTCAGCAGTGTTCATCTGAAACCCAGTTGAAAATCGTTGACCAAATTATTGCTGGTGCTTCACACTGGTCTGACAGGCACTTGTTTGACTGCCTCCTTTCTGACATTTCAGCCTCAACCTTTCCTTCCCCATTGCTGCTTGGGCAGCTCACCCGTTCTATCGTCAGTTGAAATCAGTCCAGCAGTAGGATTAAAACTATCCCTTTGTATCAGTAGCTTAGCTAGACTCCAGATGTGGCTCTGATCAGGCCCTTATTCACTCAAACAGGAGATGAAGAAAATACACCTTGAATCACTGTTAAGACTAAGATACAGCGATCAGCCAGCTCAGTCCTAGGCTTACACCACTCCCAGAAGTGACACAATCTCAGTTAGGTCACCAACATGCATAAAAACTGGTGGTGGTGTCTGTCACAGAGTGTTTCTGGTAAGTGAGAGGAAATTTCCAAGGCCTGAGGTGAGAGCAGCAAAGTTTCAGTCAGTTAGGATTAAAGGTGAACCAGCAAAGCTCCTCACTGGAGTTATACACCACCTATCCGAGTGCCAGGTCTACATAACACCTAGCCCAGAGTTACAAATCCTCCCAGAAAGGGGAGTCCCATTCAGCCAAGAACAATCAGCTCTGTGACAAAATCAACTCAAACAGACTGCATGTACTGGCCAGCACCCTGGTAGTTTTGCCCATCCAGTGCCCACAAACAATAGGTGTAATTGGCCAACAGGTGAAAGAGCAATCAAACCCCCCCATTGTTTAACCATCAGGAAATCTGGAAATCTTTCAACATTGAAGCAGGCTGGATGCTGGTAAAGAGCAGCCTGGCACTTTCCCCAGTGTCTTTAATGTGTTGTTTTGAGTGTTATACAAAGCAACGATCTCAAACTTTGCCATTTGAAAGAAGGAAAGGTCTAAATCACTTGCCCATGTCACAGAGCATATCTGGCAATTTCACTGCACAATGGGATACTGCTCTTGTATTGCCAGAGCTGGACAATATTGCTTTTCAGGTGTACGAGTTTCCAAATCAAGTAATGCTTGCTGCATTCAGAGCTCAGACTATTTCACGTAAGCAAGGGAGATCACTCTTTGAGACTGTGAAAAGTAACCAAACCAAAACATTCTGAACCATTTCAATCTTAGGATTACGTTCCTATTTGCAGAGAAACAATTCAAGACAGAATTCCAGTTGTCTCTTATCATTATAGCAATAGGAGCAGGTTTTCACTGCTCAAAAGAAGGTAGAGAAGTTTTCAAGGTCGTGAACTGTGACTGCAGAGATGCGCAAAGTCCCCTGCTCACCTTTTCTATAAGAAGCTTCTTGCTCATCGTTACACATCTATTCAACCGCTCCTTGTACTTCTCCAGCATCTTTTGCTGTTCATCTATCTGCCGTCTCAAATCGCAGTTGGCCTAAAAGTGAACAGAGAAGAAAAGCCTTTGACTTTAAACCGCTCAAAGAGCCAAACTAAGCATCACCTAGGAAGACGTTTCTCCAGCTAGCTCTAGGCATCAGATTAAAGTAAGCAAACCAGCAGGATAAGAAAAAAAGACTAGGTTCCTCTTATCAAAACATCCAAGCCAAGCTCTTCAATTTTTAACCCACTCAAATCTTAATACCCCTCTAGAACAGGGGAGTGCTATCATCCTAGTTTACATATAAGGAACTAAGGCACAAAGAGACTAAATACAAGCACAAGGAATTTTTTTATTTTTATTTTTTTAAATATTCAAGACCTTGCCACAGCTACCAAGTCTCAAAATAGCTTAAGTCATACCTGGACTATCCTCCCTCTTTAACCACAATACTGGCAGAGGAAAAGGATGGGGTAACTCCCTTTGCACTTTCAATTAAATCCTTGTTCAAGTTACTATCCATCAGCCCCGCTATATAGACTGCTCCCAGTAACAGCTGTTGTTTTTATCACTACCTCAGCGTACAGCAGCATTTTATGTGCAACCATTTTAACTGATAAAAAGTTAAATTTAACCACCTCCCTTCCAACCAATAGTCTGGCTTCTGATTAAACAGCGGATGGTAAAAAAAAAAAAAATCAATCAATCAATTTCCTGCTTCATGGATTATTTTCCGCAAACCCACATGTGCCTCTGTGTATGTCTCTATTCTCTTAGGTGCTGAGCCCACACACACACACACACAGAGACAGCCTTCCCTCTTCTCCCTTTAATGTGTTTTCTTATCCTTTTCAACACTTCACAAGAGATGTCTCTCCAGCTGATGAAAGCTAATCAATTGGAACTCCTCCATTAAGACAAGATCCTTGATTTAAAGGTATTTATCTTTTACTGAAGAATACTAATGGGTTAAGAGAGGCTTTATTCTTTCAGTTTGACCAAAAGATGTTCTCCTTGTCTCTATTCATGTTACTGACTCTCATGAATGAGCATTTCAGAATACAACTTCCCAGCCTACTGAGAGGCTACTGAACATGCCGCTAAACAAAAAGCAGGGTCAGTTCCTCAGTACTTAGAAGAGGGGAATAATTCTGAAGAGAAACGTGTTAGGTTAGCTAGCAAAATACACAAAAAATGTGCAACAGATCAAAGAAAGGCCAACAACACTGCTGAGGATGCAAACTCCTGAGCTTGTGCTTAGCTACGATAACTTTCCACTGTATAGCCAGTCACTGCTACTTTGCTTGTGGATTCAAGCAGGCCCAAACAAAGTATCTACAAGCCAGACGATTATCTTGCAAGTAAGGGATGACTGGATTTGTTTTACCTTGCGAGTGCTGGTTCTACAAATGGTATACAAAACCCGGCTCTGCAGCCTAGCTGGCACATGCATCCTATGTGTCCTTAAACAGCAGCTTTTAGAAGAGTTGTCCCACTTTAAACACTTACTCTTAATAAGTCATCTATCCTCCCCTCCTTCTTCTCCAAGTCAGAGTTCTTACTGTTTTCTAGTGCAGATAATTTTTCCATTGTGAA